GGCGGTCCGGGGCGGAGTGAGCTCTGGCCGGTTGGAGCGCCGCGGGTGCCCCCGTCGGACTGAGCCAACAGCGGTAGCCGGGCCTCCCCGGGAGCCTCCGGAGACTCCAAAGCCGCGTGCGTGGCCGGGTGAGTCAGCCGCCCTCAGGACGGACTTGCGGGGCCATCGGCGCGAACCAGCACGTGCAGCGAGGCGGCTGGGTGGGAGCTCTGGGCGCTTGACACCCAAAAGCAGCTGGGAGGTGCGCCGGCACGTGTTCGTTCTCGCCAAACCCCAGCGACATGATAGGCGTATCTCCCAGTTCACCCGGCATCGGCGGAGCGGACTTTGCCACCTGATTCATGCACTTGTGTTCCCCTCCTGAGATGTTGATTTTGATGAATAAAGGTAACTTTGGTAAAGATGAAGTATCGTTGCCGGACGTTGTTTTCCGTCCTGAAAAGGAGATACATTTAAAGTAATTGGTAAAGTGCTGTTACAGAAAACTGACACGCATTGAAGTTAGTAAAGTAACTTTTCTGGAAATTGGCAAAAACCAAAGCACCGGCATGCAACATTTTGAAATTTGTTGAAATGACATCTTTGCAAGCAAGGCAAAGGTTCCTTGCCTAACAGGCGTGAAGTGGACTCTATGTAAAAAAACAGTTTAAATGCCTAAATTCTCCCAAAGCTTGCATCAAGTAGGTGATAATTTAGAAAGTATAAAGTTGCTGAATTGTAGGATTAATTTTGTGGTTTACAACGCAACAAGATTTTGGAAGCACTGAATCGTAGTCCTGGATCATTGGGAATCGGCTATTTCGTATCAATCACCAGGAGGCACTTTCCGGTCCCATTTTGCCACGTGTCCCAGGGACTCACCAGTTTTCAGTTCAGGCTGCCTTTCTGGCCATTTCCCAAGACTTCCCCACCCATCCAGTGGTTGATCTTCATCTCTCCAGCCTACCCTGTTTCACCCCCACACAGACCTTGGGTTGTTGGATTGGTTTCCCTCACCTGAGGACTTGCTTAGAGGAATCCACCGATGGAGCCAGTCTGGCTGGGCCCATACAGACCTGTTTAGTTTGAGAGAATTTGCTACTACAGGACAGGTTATGAGTGGGGAAAATTGAAATCATATAAAAGGAAGTTTGTGAGATTTTTTCAGGCCGTGTCTTTGATCCTTACTTACCGAAGTTAAAAAGCATAGGTTTGGAACCCAACCAGTCTGAATTCTGGCTGGGCTAGAATTCATTGTGAAGCCTTGGGAAAGTCATTGAGATGTTCTAAGCCTTCGTTTGCCCATGAGTAAAACAAAGGGCAGCTGATGTATAATTTCCGGCATAGAGTAAGCTTTCAACCAGAAGAGGTTATACAGGAGGAGTTTCTGGCTCCATTGCTAAAATACGTCCCAGAATGGTGGTATAGTTTGCATTCATTCAGTGTTCATTATGTTAGGCACTATAATAATCACTGAAGTCCTCATCGCATCCTTAAGTGCTGTTACAGAAAACTGACACGCATTGAGGTTAAGGAACATGCTCAAAATGGCACAGCTCGTCACTGAGAACCAGGATTTGCACACAGGCAGTCTGGCTTCAGAGCTTGTACTCCAGCCACCACATAATGCTGGTGAGTTTCTGTTCACTTTCATTCTTGCCCCTCACACTCCTTTCTTGTCCTTGCTTCTTGTGAGTTCTGGAGCGCCAATTGCCATGAGATATAAACTCATTTAATTTAATGTTAAATACTTTTTCAAAGTACATTTGGGAGCTACCTAACACCATCTCCACCACATTGTTCTAATATTCGGTCTAATATGCAGGTGGTATTTTGGAAACGGCTGGTCTAGAGATTAGACAAAATTTCAGTCTTTCTCGCAGGGCCACTGGTATATCAGCCCCCTGAAGAATACAGCACTGTTCCCAGCTTGGAAAGGAGAGAGCAGACTGAGTTTACCCTTCAATCGCTTTGTGCCTTTATCCAGTGACTTCACTCTGTACAACGCTACACAGTGGCCCTGTGCTTCTGCATGACTCCATGTATCAGATCAAATTAGGTTCAGCTGCAGGTAGTCGGTCCAAGGCTTGGGCTGCTGTCACAGTATCAGGGATTGGGCTTCCAGCCTCTTGCTCCACCATCCTCCTAACATTTCCCCCAGTACAAGATGGTTGCTCAATCTCCAGCCCTCATAGTCACATTCCTACCTGGAAAAAGAAAGGCACATGGCTTCCCTTTAAGGACATTTTATAGAAATTGCATTTCCTATTTCTGCCTACCTCCTGCTAACTAGAACACAGCCTTAAGAAAATACCTTGTTAAAGGAAACCTGAAGGTTATATTCTGGTATGTTCTAGGTTGCCATGTGCTCAGCTAAAAATCAGAATGTTTACCACTAAGGAAGACTGGAACAAGAGATGATGAGAGAGGAAATATTGCCGTAAACTTTGTTTTCTCACAACTTAGATAGGGTTATGGATTTAGGAAAAACACTTCGGAACCCAAGGAATGTAACTTTATGCAAATAAAGCCATTTTCCACATCCCATTCTCCCGTGGAGGTCTCTGAAAACTCTTAGGTACCCCCAAGAACCTCATTTTCACGAGTGATGGGGAAATTTGACTCTCCAGTACCACATTCTCCCATATTTATATTATTATTTAGGTTATATAACCGAGTACTGTCATTATGTTTCAATTGTTCCAAGCTTTGGCTATCAGGAGAAAAGGCTATTTTTTGTCTCCTTTTGACATGCCCCCACTCTTTTTTTTTTTTTCCCCACCCTCCCACTTTGGAGCACATTTCATTCATTCTCATGTTTAGTCCAAGAAATTTACAAAGACATGGCAACTTCCTAATCCAGCCTCATCATTTCTCATCCTGACTAATATCTCTGAACTGCTTGCATGCTCTCCCATCAACCGTCCTCCACCCTGCTGCCAATGGTTAGATCTTGTTGTCATACTTCCCTCCTTAAAAGCCTTAGTTTCCCTTCACCTAGAGCAGTTGTCTCCAAATGTCATTCAACTCATACCCTGAAACAGAAAAGCAATTTTGAGCATCATTCCCAATACAGCAAATTTTATAATTTATGGTTTGCATTATTCTAATATTAGGTCTAATATAAATTACATCATAAGAAAAATTAAAAAATAAACTGAACATAAAAATTACAATTTTTCTTGCACTCTAGAGTACCGTATTGAGCACACTCACTTTGTAGACTTCTATAACTTCTCATGTCCTCCCCTCCAAATTTTCTTGCTGAAATATATCACTTAGAATTTTCTCAACATACCAAATTCATTCTTGACTCTGTATCTTTGCACAGGTTGTTGCTTCTGCCTGGAAATCTTTTTACACTCCCATTCCCCTGAGTCCTCCTTTTGAGTAACTCATTCACCCTTCAGGGCTCACTTAAATTACTATCCTCAAGGATACCTTCCTGGGTCCTCCCGGATAGGGTCAGATAGTGGGCGCCATTGATGTTGCCTAGGGCCTTAACTAGTCTTTTAGCTCCTTGAGGATAAGTATCAGGTATTTCATTTTTCTGTCAATCATTGCCTAGCATAGTACTCAGTACATAGTGTAACGTTACTATTCAGCTGAAAATAACTTGACCAAAGGTAGTTTGGTGGGCAGCAAGCCAGACAACATGTCATTTTGGTTATGTGGGTGGGTTTGTAATGTTTTATGCATCTTTAAAAATTATTGTCCAATGCCAGCACTGCCCCCACCCCCACCCCGGTACAGGATTGTACTTGTTTTATACTAATTTATTTTCATCTAACTTTTTGAAAAAATATAGATTAAGCTTTTGTTGATTTTAGGGAGAGAGGGAGAGAGAGAGAAAGAGAAACATCAGTTTGTTGTTCTACTTATTTATGCATTCATTGGTTATTCTTGTATGTGCCCTGACTAGGGATCAAACCTGCAACCTTGCTGTACTGGGACAATGCTCTAACCAACTGAGTTATATTTTCATCTAATTTTAACTGGTCTTCATTATTCATCATTTCAAAAATTTGGTTTAATCTATATGCCCAATAATTGGTAAATTGCAAAAGAATATGCATGATATTAGATTGTAGAAAAATAACATAAGCTTTATCTATGTATATAAAAGGCTAGCCGTAACCAGTTCGGCTCAGTGGATAGAGCATCGGCCTGCGAACTTAAGGGTCCCGGGTTCAATTCCAGTCAAGGGCATCTACCTTGGTTGCAGGCACATCCCCAGTACGGGGTGTGCAGGAGGCAGCTGATCGATGTTTCTCTCTCATTGATGTTTCTAACTCTCTATCCCTCTCCCCTCCTCTCTGTAAAGCATCAATAAAATATATTTTTTCAAAAAAGGCTAATAAGCAAAGGGTCCCCTTGGGAATTCAACCAGGAGACAAGAGTTCGATCACTTGCTATGACATGCACTGATCACCATGGGGCGGCACAGAACAAAGGAAGGCCCCAGCCGTCAGCCAGAAGGCCAGGATCAGCCCTGATTGCCGGCCAGACCTAGGCACCCTACCCATGCAGGAATTTCGTGCACCAGGCCTCTAGTATAAAAATGATCTTAGAAGATTTAATCTAAGGTAAAGATTTTATTACACAAATAGGTTTGTATTATTTAAATACTTTCTTCTCATTACAGAAAACCTGGAACCACAAAGAGGGAAATAAGTAGAATAGTCAAAATTTCACTATTCTAGAGACAACTTCTATATGGGAGAGGAGAAATGTATATGAATTGACTAGTGAGTGATTAGGAGAAGGGTAGTCTTGATAATATTTTTGGAGGAATTCATAGAAGTCAAATGAATTTGATGGAAACCTAACAGGGATAGCTTAAAATAAATGAGGAATTCTTTTTTATTTTTTAATATATTTTTATTGATTTCAGAGAGGAAGGGAGAAGGAGCGATAGAAACATCAACTATGAAAGAGAATTATTGATGGGCTACCTCCTGCACACCCCCCACTGGGGATCAAGCCTGCAACCTGGGCGTGTGACCTTGACTGGAATCGAACTTGGGACTGGAGATTCTTCAGTCTGTAGGCCAACGCTCTAACCACTGATCAAACCAGCTAAGGCAATAGGAATTCTTTTGAAGGAGCTAAACTCAGATTAGGTCTCAGATTAAGGTACAGTTCATTTAATTTGCTAGCCCAAAATCTGTATAAATTAAGCATATATTCCTAAAACGTTATTTCCAGCTTTATTTTCTTTTACTGCTCTCTTGCAGCCAAACTCTGCTCCTCATGTTTTCCCTAAATGTTTCTAACATTCTCTTGACTTTATGCACAAGTTAGTATAACAAATGCTTCTAAGCATTGTCTATTGAACTATGTCCACCTTTCAAAGCTCACCTGAAATGCTTGCTTCCTTCTCCATGAAGTCTTTGCTTCTCATCCCACTCTTACCATCCAACTACTGGAAACCTCTTCCCTTTAAACCTCCATAGCACTTTGTATTTTGTTAATTGTCTCTATATTCCATAATAGAGCAGTGAATTTGCAACATGTGACAACACTTTGTAAACTGTAAAGTATTATACAAATGTATGATGTTATTGTTCTCATCCTCAGAAATAGCTTTTAAGCTCCTTTAGGGCAGAGACTAATATTTTATTCAACTTTTTGTCCCCATTGTCTAACATGTTACCTAGAACATGGTTATTTAATAAATGTTTGTTAAATAGCATATAGTAATTCTTTTCTGTTTTCCCTTGTATTGATTCTTCTGGGGTGGCCATGGGTCTTAAAGAAATGTTTCTTGTCTTTATTAATCTATTATCCAAAAATTTTGCAAAAGCCTCTGTGCTGTTTCATAGAAGAAGTTAAAATATGCATCTTCCCATTGAGTTCCCATTGGGTATGTAAAATTGTTTACTTCCAGGCATAATGAGCAATACTCTCTTTGATGAGTAGATAATGAGGAATTTTCCTTGGCTTGGAGCAGTATACAAATTTGTGCCTGGCATAGGTGAGGCACTCATCTGTGATTAGAGGTAAGGCCTTCTATGATGCCCTCAGAACACAAGCAGAGCTACCCAAACTGGAAGTGCAGACACTGGTCCTTGGAGTGGCACATTTCAGATACCTGCACTTTGGAATAGCAGGTCAGATCTTGTTTTATGGTGCCACCAGAGGATTTTCCCTGTCTTTACATGTCATGGAAGGCCATGAATTTCACCTCATCTATTCCTTATGGCAGTTATGGACAGGTAATGAGCATCTTTACATGTGCTTGTTTGACATCCATCATTCTCCTTTACTCGTGTGTCCACCCCTCTCCCATTTAGATTGTTTGCCTCCTTATTATTGACTGGTTAGAGTTCTTTTGTGCATTCAGCATACAAGGATTTAATCAGATACAGGGTTTGGAAACACGGTTTCCTAGTCTGTGGCTTTTACTTTTCATAGCAGTATCTTTCAGAGACCAGAAGTTTAAAATTTTTATTGTCTTATTTATTAATTTTGTCTTTTATGGTCATGCTTATTGTGTCCTAAGAAATTTTTACCTAAACCAAGGTCACAAATATTTTCTATGTTTTCTCTTAGGAGTTTTATAGCTTTAGCTCTAACAATTAGAACTGTTATCCTTTTAGAGTGAATTATTTGTAAAATCTGTATGTATTAAGCTTTAATAAAAAGTTTTTACAGAAGTTCCAACTATGCTGACCTTATTTTGATAAGTGACTATTAGAATTACTCCACCTAGTGGATACTTACAAACATTCACACATTTAATCTGTCAGTTCATAGAATATTTTAATAAATACAAATGCATTAAACAAAAAACATATTTATTAATATATATATAAAAGTTTGGAAATGATTAATTTTATATTTGAAATAAGTATATCATCTATAAAAATTCATATCTCCACATTTAGAGACAGATTTTTCTAACTTATTTTAAAATCATCCCTTTAAAATGAGGCACTTCAGTGGAATTCAATCACTTTTTTAAAGTTTGAAAGTATAGCACCTTCACATCTACTTGTCAAGAACTGTTAATCAACAGTAGACAAAGAGGAAATAACTAATTTTTAACAAAAACTTTTGAATAAGTGGATGGAATTGAAAAATGAATATTGGATCTAAATATCTTTGTTGTTTTTTAACCACGTTTCAAAATAAGCTGAACTTAAAACTCAACTTTCGGTTTGCTGTATCAAAAAGTGATAACCTTAGATTTTAAAAAATAATTATGTATATTCACTTAGCACTCATCCCAAATATTATTAATAGTAAAAGCAAAAATGATTTTTGTACCATTAATAAAATAAAATATTGTTTAAATTATTTATTTCTTCTATATATAAATGCTTGGCTATATTTTATAACACACAGGATTTATAAGTATATAAATGTATAATAATTAAATATATCCTTGAACATATTACTTAATCTTTCTGGATTCCTGTATTCTTGTCTTTATAATGAATGGTTTTGGTTATGTAATCTCAACTTGCTTGAAAATCCTTTGATTTTGTAACTCAGTGCCTAGAGGTCTTTTTTTGGCCTGTACTTGTACATTTTTTTACAGATACTGTCACTGATATTTTTGTCACATCTTTTAAAAACCATGTAAAACTTGAGTTTTCTTTAGAATTCAGAAAGCTCATATTCAGACAGTCCCTGCCTAATGTCAATCCCAAAGTTATGCAGGTATCATTTGAGGTAAAAATTATTTTTTTTTCCAACTGGAGACCAGTATGAAAAATAATTGAGGAATAAGAAACATCACTAAGATTAAGGAATGAGAAGAGGAATTTAGTTAAGACAGTGGAGGGGAAAAAAACAGATGTGGGAATGACAGAGGAATTTATTTTGATGCAAACTAAATAGATAAAAAAAATCATTGAGTTATGATTCAGCCCCAGAACTGGCTCTGAGATTGATTGATGTCTCACCCACAGCTGCTCTGCAGTTCAACTTCTGCCCAATTTTATTTCTCTGGCACCCCTGGATGTGCTGCTACTTGGTGCAATTCCTCATAAGCCCCCAGCATGCAGGTTACCATCTCGGGGAATCTGGACTAAGACTCCAAATATTCTTTAGATATTGACAATAATCTTTAGATATTGTCAAATCAATTCTTGGATCTAGTTAGGTCATAAGACAGGTAGCTTTCTTGGTAAGTTAATATTGGTCGTCATCATAGATGACCATACTTTCATCTGAACTAAGTGTGATAGGAACCTAGGAAAGCCCATTGGATCAGCGTCCTCTCTGTGTCCCATTGTTTCAAAGTGGTCCAACGTACATTTGTTTACTAAACATTACGTCTTTTATTTTTATTTTTTTAAAATATTGTTATTGATTTCAGAGAGGAAAGGAGAGGGAGAACGAAATAGAAACATTAATGATGAGAAAGAATCATTGATTGGCTGCCTCCTGCACGCCCCACACTGGGGACCAAGCCCGCAACCCAGGAATATGCCCTGACCGAGAATCAAACCGTGACCTCCTGGTTCATAGTTCAATGTTCAACAACTGAGCTATGCCGGCCAGGCTAAACATGAAGTCTTTTAATTTCCCCGTGATTTGTCTCACTTCTTCTGGAGTTCTGAAAATGACATATACCTCATTTTGCCTTACTGTCTTTGGAATTCTTGCTCATTTGAATTCCCCATACACACATATTAAAATTGGATTTCCACTTATTTACCTGAGAAGAACTAAGGGGGAAATGGGAAAACAGTGGGGAGCATGTACAGCATGGATTAGAAGGGGACTTCATCACCCTACCCAGAATGGCAAGCAATTAAAAACATAAATAATTGTTTATTCCTGGAATTTTCCAATATTTTTGGATGGTGGTTGACTGGTAACTGAAACTGCAAAAAGGGAAATCGCAGATGGAGGAACTACTATGTAGTGTTAAAAAAACAAAATTTAACTGAGTAAATTTGAAGATCTACTTGGCTTTAATTAAGCAATTCATGAATCAGGCAGCATCCCATCTAGGAACTAAAGAGCTCAGAGGGACTTGTACATGTGGAAGGTTTTTATAGGCAGAAAAAGGGTGGGACTAAGAAGTTAAAAGAATGAATTATTTCAGGCCAGGTCACCTTCCCTTAGGGCAGTGTTTCTCAACCTTCCTAATGCCTCGACCCTTTAATACAGTTCCTCATGTTGTGGTGACCCCCAGCCATAAAATTATTTTCTGTTCTACTTCATAACTGTAATTTTACTACGGTTATGAATCATAATGTAAATATCTGATATGCAGGATGTATTTTCATTGTTACAAATTGAACATAATTAAAGCATAGTGATTAATCACAAAGCAATATGTAATTACATATGTGTTTTCCGATGGTCTTAGGCGACCCCTGTGAAAGGGTCGTTCAACCCCCAAAGGGGTCACAACCCACAGGTTGAGAACCACTGCCTTAAGTCTGGGAGTCTTCTCAGGAAGGTTTTTATAGGAAACAGGATGGGGCAAGGAAGCTACTAGTGAAAGAAAAGAGGATTTGGGGGTGGGGTGCAGAACACATTTTCTTTGGGGAGAAAAGATTGGGAAGGGTTTTCATCATGCAGGTTGCCCTTTCTCTCTTTGGGGCTGGAGAGGACCCATGTGACAGGTTACTTTACTGGGGCTTGACCAGAAAATTCCAGACTGGTTGATTAAGAATACATTTCTGGGAGAGGTGGAAACTGCAGTTAGATCAGGTATTAAATCTAGGTTTGGTATCATGGACTTGCAGCATGAGTAACACCATTTGGGGCCTGGGGTTTTGTATTTAACAATAGTAATTGCATAGAGGTAAAAGTTGAAGCCACATCATTCTACACCACCATAAAATTATATATACTTTTTAAAATTCAATTTCAGGCAGATCCAAACAAAATGAATATAAAACTTAACAATTTATTGAGTTTATATAATTTAAATTTTAAACATTCTACTCATGTTATTTGTAATAGAGGAGTTTTAAGGCTTAACTGTGATAGCCAAGTTAATTCTAATAACCATCAAATGAATTTCCAGCATAACTCAATGATTTTTATATCTATTTAGTTTGCATCAACAAGATTATAATTGTTACCAAACCCAAGTTTGTGAGCCTGATGCTTTTGTAAGGCAAAAACTCCTAACATCAGTGTTTGGAGTAAGGAAAGGTTTATTGATGGAGAAAATGGGAGATCTAATGGAGCCCCAAATCCATCTTGTTCACTGGCCTAGGTGAGGGTTTTGAAAGGGTTAGTGGGGGAGAGTATGCGGAAGTCCTGGAGGATGGTTTTAATTGGAGGACATTGGAATTAGACCGTTTATGCTAAAGGGATGTCAACACTGGATCTTTCTGGACAAGGAAACTTTGGCTTCTGAAAGGATTTTGCTGTTCCGGTTCTGGTTATGTCCTAGTCCTTTGGTCCCATGAGGGGTTGAGACTTCGGTTCTGGATGCAGCTGGAGGTCAGAGTTCTCTCCTCTGAGCATGTTTTTGCAGCATGACTTACAGATTTGGTCTGTTGTCACTGAAAAGCAACTCAGTATCCTGTTAAGCAGACTAGGACCATTTTGAGCTGGTTCTGCAGTTACATACTAGTAGTCACTATCGGTCATTTCTGTACTAGCCATTTTATTTGCACCCTGTGTCATTTCTTCCTATCAACCTTATGAAGTTAACTTTATTCTCAATTTATTGAGAAAAAATTACTCAAATTTTAGTACTAGCATGAAGTTGAATAACTAGTTCATGGAATTGTTCAGACTCAGACTCGAGATTGCCTTGTTCAGTGTTTTTGCTCTTGCTAATTTTGCAAAGTATATGTTCAATGTACCTGTAGTTTTAATGGATTCGTTCATGAAGCATTGTTATAGGTTGTGGTACTGTGATTTACAGTAAATATATATTTAGTTTTGTTCACCATTCTTGGGCTTGCAATTAGCATCTGAACTGGAGACAGTCTTGTTCGACTGAGCCCATAACCTGTGGCACCTGATCCTATGTCCCTATAGTTCAAGTCAGAATTGAGGTGAATTGTAGGGACACCTAACTGGGGTGGGGGCAATTTCACACATTGGAATTGGTGACCAGAATTATATACTATATATATCCCACGTTCAAAGGCTGTTAAATCGCGTTGTTTACCTATATCTTCAGAAAAAAATCACTTCTACTGTCGTGGTAAACAACCTGCTTCCCTATTTATAATGGTCTGGCCCTCTAGTAACTTCAGCGCGAAATTATAGCTAATTTGCCTACAAACGTCAGGTGGTCATAATAATCTGGCCACTCAGTGTATATAAATATGTAATAGCTTGGTATAACCAAAGAAATGTTAAGCAAAAACAGGACTGCAAGATAAACTACACTATAAAATATAAATGTATGCACATGAACATAGAAAAAAATGTTTAAAATGAAATATATTCTTGAATGGTAGAATTATGAATGACTTCTATCCTAGTATACCTTTTTTTATTTTGTAAAATACATAAAGTGAGTATGTCTAATTTGTAACTGGAAAAAATAAATTTTGTTTTTACAAATGTAAAGTTACTTCTTTTAAATGGAGCATATCAGTCTTCTTGATTACTTTGGAAAATGACATTTATATTGAGCTTACTTTTTAAAAAATATATTTTTATTGATTTCAGAGAGGGAAGAGAGAGAGAAAGAAAAACATCGATGATGAGAATCATCAATTGG